TGGAAGAGTGGACACTGAAATTTAAAAACTGGTGAACTTTTTTGTCTCCAAAGTGTTGTCTCCTTTGCTTTGAGGTTGTTGTACTTTAGTTGCTGATGCTCAGGTTGTGATTCCCTGTAAGGACCTCTCTCTTGACCTTCTCCCCTTGGCACTCTTATGACCGTATTCAGTTGCGGGCGCTGTAAAACCTCTACTAAAACTAAAAACTAAGATGCTCAGGTTGCGAGATGTGGGTGGTTGGCGTATGCTTTGGTGTGGATTGCTCCTTCTTTCATACCAAACATCTATGGTTCTTGTCTCCTCTCCTTCTTTTCTTTGTAGTTTACCCTCTAGTAACAACTCTATAATCTTCGGCATGTGACCTATTTATGTTGTAAGTGGTGCACAAATCTTTTACTAAAATAAACATTATGTTGTGGGATGTTCTGCGGTTACTGCATGATGATGAATCTAGTGTTGGACTTTTGCTCATGCAGAGTAGACTTTGTGTAATTTGATTATAATGAATTCCTCACTCTGTTAGTCAAGGTTTGCCCACCTAACACTCATCTTCTGCCCCACTTTCAGTCCAAAGTGTTGAAATATATATGAAGCGTGCTGACAAAATGAGTTACTTCTCGGATTTGAGACCCATAGAATTAGATACGTCCCGCTTACAGGTGAAGTTTTGACAATTTATGTGTATGAAATAATAAAAAGGCTTTACTTAAAGAATATGGCATCAATAGAAAATCTACAAATTTGACCCTAGTGTCGGTTTTTGGCCAATATCTCCATTTGTGGATTGCGAAAAGTAACTCATTTTGTCAGCACGCCTCACATATTATAATTGTTGTTGTTGTAAATTTACAACATTGTGAATTTCAGTACAAAAGGACTTCTGAGACTGAGTAGTGGAAACCTAGCAAGTAAGTGGTGACAACAAATGTTTGGTTTATAAAAAACATGCTATTACTTTTATTTGACCTTGTTCTAGTTAGTCTAAAAAAATGTCTCTGATATCACTTGTTTTAGGTTTCAGTTTCAGTAATGTTAAACAGCCTCCTAGATTCAGGACTGGCTGTTTTTAAGTTGGAAGAACTTATGAATATGGTCCTCTTGCCCGACAATAAGCCATTGGTATTTCTTAATTGCCAGAGAAAAGAATGTTCTAAGCATAGTCTAACCTCCCCGGGGCAGTGCCACTGACTGAAGTGTCTTTAGGCCATTCCCAAAGGGGGGACATTGACCATGTTCCTATGCACAGTAGAATTGTAATTGTAAATGGGCTGATTCATCAATGTCATGCTCATTACTGCCTGAACTGCAACAGGGAACTGCTGCTTTTTCTTTCCTAATGCTTACTATCGTCATTTTTCCTCTACTTCTTTTGTATGTTTGTCACACTCTTGTGACCTGCTATTTCTGGGGTACCTTGACAGTCGAAGCAGACTTTGTGCTGTTGAAGTAAGCCTGATTCCCTGTAAGGACTTCTCTGTTGACATCCACCCCTTGGCTTGCAAACGCCGTAAAACCTCTACGAAAACAACAACATAAGCGTAGTCTGACTATAAATAATAATATACACTTATTGTATTGGTTTCTGAGCTCACAGTTCATTTAAGTGATATGGAAGCCATGAAAAATATTTTGAAGTTTTTGGGAACCTTCTCGTGGAAAAATAAATGCTATAGAATACCAGGTGTTACATTTTAAAACTTTTTCAGCCCTTTCGTATTTGACCAGGCGTTTTCTGCTGTAGCAGCTTGTAAAGCCATGCCTGCAATTGCTCTTTGGAATCAGATATTTTAAGATAAATCTTATTAATTACGAAATGTTCACTTGTTGTGTTTCTTTTCCGCACAGTTCGAGGTGTTGTTGGTCCCATGGGGAGGGACTTCAAGTCCTTGGTGCTTCTGTCTCGAGCTCTCATGTCACCCGAGATGCTTGAGCTGGATCCTTCTTTGCCGCACCTCCCTTTCAATGAAAAGGTTTGTGAAGACCAAAT